TTTTTTTTTGAAATTTTCAAATTTTGACCCGGCCGGGTTATGAAAACCAATTAATTAATTTTGCATGGCCTTATATATTGCAACACAATGAATTTTCCTTAACCATCTAATTTGTTTTAATTTATCTTAATATAGAGACGCTTATTCAATCATATTTCAACATTGTAAAAAGAACTATTGTCGACATGGTTCCAAAGGCTGTTATGCTTAATCTCGTTTCATATGCCAAAGAAGAACTCCAACGGGAACTATTGCAAGAACTGTACAAAGCAGAAGTTCTTGATGAATTACTTAAAGAAAGTGATTACACGCAACAAAGGCGAAAAGAGTGTAAAAAGATGATTGAAGCCTTGCAAAGGGCTGATGAGGTAAATTTATTATAGTGACGAAATATTGCTTATTATGTAATCTTTGTTTTAATTAATACCAATATGATTTCTAGATTGTCTCGGCCGTTTAAATTATATTGTTTGTTAACAGTTTTTTTTTCAAAAAAAAAAAAAAAGGAAAATAGGGGAAATTTAAATTCGGTATTTAGGATTAAGGCAATGGAAAATTAAATTTGGTATTTAGGATTTAGGCAAGATAATATTATTATGTAGACCATGTATTTTTATATATTGTTAATACTGAACAAAAAGTTTACGACACTTGTAGAACGTTGATCGTATATTTTGATAACTCGTGTTGTATTTATTTTTATGTATTAATTCAGGAAGATCTTCTACACATATATTCCTAGTTAAATAAATTTTCGTGATGTTTCATATTGTTTGGAATTTAACGGAGATTAGATAGATTAGTTTCTCTTGACGATGAGTTTTTATAGACTAATAAAAGAAACATCGGCAATCATAAATATTTACGATCAAAGCTATCTAAAACTAGGGTTGATGGTGAATTTAGAATTTATAATGCATTAATTGGTGATATAAAAAAACCAATGCTCCAGTCCCACTTCAGGAACTAAATATCTTGTTTAATTATAAGGTACGAATGTGCTGGTCTAGTCAACTAACGGTCGGAGCCGAATAATTTTTTTAGCTAGCTAATCAAAAGCTACAGCTATGTATAATCGTTATCAGTCAGGGAATATGTCGTACCTTATAATAAAAACTATAATAAAAATATATATATGTCATATATACCTTATAATAAACATATTAATTTCAAATTTTAAAGCTAAGCATATTGAAAATAGTAGATTAAAATAAGGCCACTCCAAATTGATTCTTTGTTTAACATAACATAAATATTTTGCGGGGGGGAATAAACAAAATGTAAAAATTTTCAAAAGCTGATACTACAATTTGATTGGTTAAACTAGTGTTTATTTTATGTTTAAATTTTAAAAAATAGAGGGGGGGGGGGGGTTATGTTAACATAGAATCAAATTGGCGTGGCCTAACTTAGACCACTTTTTTAAAATTCTGTAAAATTTTTTAAAAAAAGAAATTTTTTTCTAATTTTGAACATGCAATTTATATGTAAAATTTTACACTAAACAAGTTTATTAGAAAATATTAATTTTTAAAGTATATAAAAATAATTTAATAAGAAAATTGCTAATTTAATCTCAGATAATTATTATCTATAGTTATAGTAATTTGCCAATTAAAATTCAAGAACAAGTGTAATTTATAAATTAATTTTGTTTTTTTTTTGTTTTTTTTTTACTTATTTTGTTTGGAAAACTTTATTAATCATTACAGTAGTATATGATTTACATAATACAATGTTTCATATTAATCCTACTAATATTAAGACTAATTTATTTCTGAGTTATTCTTTATCTAGAAATTTACTTACAAGTATTTAACCTACAAAATCTATTTTATTTCATATAATTTATATATTCTTTATATCTTTTATATTGATTTTAATAATTCTCAGACAAGTAACTAGAGATCTTTTGTAGTATTTGTAATTCTTTGCTTAAATTACTTTCTGTTTGGTATTGAAGATGTCAAATTTTTTATCAAGATAATTTTGTCTTTATACAATACTTTACTTTAAATAAGTACAGTTTGCTCTCTATATAGTCACACTTATACAGTTATACCCTCTTTATAAGCATTTTAATTCTTAGACAAACTTATATAAAACATAAGAAATTTGATCTCTATACAGGCACAATTTCTTATAAATACTGAATTTCTTAGAACCGAAGGCATAACTATAGAGAGATTAGGCTGTACTTGCTTTTTACTTTATAGTACAATAGTACAACTATCTGAATCTTGGATGTTTTTATAGTATTCTACTTTATTTACTTTATTTAATTGTTTTTCAGATTCAGATAACAGTATACTACTACTATCTTTTTAAAAAAGCTTCTGTGTATTGGTTAGATAGAGCTATATTATATAATAAAAGTTTTTTTTTTTTTTGTTTTTTTTATTTCTTTGGCAAGTCTAGTTATGACTTTGGTCCAGCTATATTATAGTTGACTCTACGCTACTAGTGTCACAGGACCTCCATAACCCCATACGGGTATTATATGTATCCACCTGGTATTCATTGTCCAACATTTTCCTAGTTCCCTCATTGGGGCCTAGGTCTGACCGCCTGCACGACACTCCGGAGAGGCCAAAACACCTTATCTTTGGACCGCTATTTCACGAGCCAATCGGGTAGCGCCACGAGTTCATGTAGTACCCTTTCTTTTTAGACCTCACATTACGTCTCATGACTTCGGTTGTTTCAAATTGGGGTTCTAGCACAGCTTTTCTTCACAGCCACAGCTTCTCGGAATAATTATTCCCCGAATACGTCTATCTGTAGATATCTTGGGTTCCCTATACCCCGCAGTGTTTCACTTCCATATTTGGTTTTTCATTATTTCACCACTAGGAGGAATTGAACCAGCAACCTTACGATTTGTAACCTGGGAGCATAACCGCTATGCTATCGACCCACAGGTTATAAAAAAAATTTTAAATTAATTCTTATTATAAAAACCTACTATATATTATTAATTGGCAACTTGTAGCTTCACATTATAAATTTTTTTAAAAATACAGTCAGACCTCTCTAAATGCACCCTCTCTAAATGCAGCACCTTCCTAAATGCATTGATATTTGCCAACAGATACCTACATACAGTGCTAACTGCATTTAAAAAACTGCTTTAGCATGATAATCAGACTACCGTATCAGAACTATATCTATTCTCTTCTAATTTTTCCTTCTTTCTAAGGACAGCCAACAGCTTAAAGTAAGAGGGAGATTTTTTAAACAAAACAAATAAGAAAACGACCAAAAAAAAGAAAAAAAAGAAAGAACAAAAAGAAATAAAACAGAATCCTAATGACACTAATAATGCCTGTGCCAGGCCTAAAAAATTATATACTATGCATAAAACTACTAAAGTTTTAACTAATAATATATATGGACTTATTTCTTTCTGAAATTTTCATTTCTTCCAGAACCGAAACAAAAAAAACAAAAAACAAAAATAAATAAAACAAATTCTAATAGCACTATTATTGCCCATGCAAGGCTTAAAAAATTATATACTATGTATAAAACTAACATAACTCAGCTTTACCTATAATATATATAACCTTAAAATAGTTTGAAAACTTTTTACTACAAACCCAACAGATTAACATTTGTTTATTTCCACACATAAAGCCGTATATCGTAGACTACATGTGACTGTTTTGTGATTTTTTTCCCAATTTGGTAGTAGTACACAATGTAGTCAAGGGATTTACCAAATTAAGAAATCACGTTCTAGAATGATCTACAAATGGATCTCTGAATTTGATTAGCTCTCACGTGCCTTTTGCTCCTCAAACATTATTACATTTTAAAAAAAAAAATTTTAATAACTATTCGAGTTTAATAACCTTTAAAGATGTAGTTCAAGACGTCTAGTTTAAATAATCAAAGTTAATCAACATTAATCAACCCTTGTCAAAAAAGTAAATGAAACGTTAAAAACAGGTATATACTTTGTTTAAGAAGCTAAGAATCATCATTAGTTAACTTAAAATAGTTTTAAGATTTTGTATTATATTTAAATAAAAGTTAAAAGTTTAT